GGTAAATGACATTGGGTGTAAACCAGGCAGAGTAGTGCAAATAGGCAAAATATCTACATGTTGTCACACTAGGCTCCTGCTGTTCTGATCCACATTATACAGCCAGAAAAAACATATACTTGACACATGGTTAGGTCTAATTCACTCCGTAATGTGGTAATAATAAGATGGTACTTAAATTGTCCAATAACCACTAATAAAATGAAATAATAATTAGCAGTTTAGCATTAATCATGAGACACAGCTGTGCTAATCATCCATCACTGGAAGAGCAACTGTAAAATTGTAAAAATTATTTATTTTTTACTCAACATAATAACGTTTTCAGTTATCAGAATTTGTTCTTACACAACTGGGTTCTATGGAATTAATATTGAATTAATATACATTTTCTATAGTCCAATCCCTCAATGGGCATGATCATTGATCAATCTATCCGCTTCTCTTTGATATCCTACTAGCAATAATAGCTAGCAGGCTAACTAGTATCAGTAAACTAACACAAACATGGATACATTTTTTTACAAACTCATCAAATGCTGTCTTTCATTCTCCTCTTTTATCCACACAGATAATTATGTTATACTGATCAGATAAATACTAAAAAGTCATTGGAGCTCCTCAGTGAATGTGCCGGAATTACTGAAGGAAGAAGAGAACAATGGTTAATATCCACATAATTGCAGGGCTAATTAATTATTCTTTTCCAGCATCTGGCCAGAACATGTGTCTACAGCTGGTTTTCAATCTGTCTTGAAAGCATAAATTCATTACATTTAAAACAATGTAAACGGGAAACCAAACAGCACTATATAGAGAAAGGAGACAACATTAATAGTCTGACAGCATTAGAGTGCAGTAGAGGGTGCTAACAGATGTGTTATGTAGGCTTACTGATATTATACACCGTCACTTATTCATAGATACTATCATGTAGACATTCATAATATAGCTGTCGAGGCACTAAAAGCTGACCACTGAGTGTAAATGTAACAGCACTGCTGAAAACGTGTGGCAGCTGTAAGTGCTTCACGCCGGCAGAGTCACGCTGTTGATGTTCAGATTAGCGCTGAACTGGGGGCAGCTGATTCTAAAGGCAGAGAGCTGACTCATTAATGTGACCTGCAAGCAGCAGAGATGGATTCCCCTCACAAGGCTTTGCATGGTCGCAGTACTGCTGTGTTACCCCAGAGACAGGATCAGAGAGCAGGTTTGGAGAGAGGTAAGTACAAATAATGTGCTCTCGTGTGATATTTGGTGGGGGTCTTCCAAAAAATATTCAGTGCAAGTATTTTTTTTTAACGAAATGATATTATAGCGTGATCTGGACATCTTATAAAGACGCTGATGTGACGTTAGGAATGTTAAGCATTTGATCTTCCGTAATTTCCATAAATGTCGATTGGGGCTGGGGTCAGGTTAGTTGCCACTGGTTGAATTGCTACCTCTCCTTGGTCACGGTGCAGTCACTTCAATGCAGTTGTCAAACATGGATTTTTCAGGGTGGTTTTCCATTTGTACTGTAAAATGCTGGCATCTATTATCTCATTCCAAGTATTTCCTGTTGTTTCCCCTTGACACCCCATTAGTCTGGCAGGTTTTTCTTAAGAAATGTTATGTCTCTGATGATGAAGTTGCTTTTCTTTGCCTCAGTGAAGAAAGCCTGATGAATTCAGGTTATCAGAGAAAAGCTTCAGGCCAGCAATAATTTGACAGTAATCAATCTGAATAATAAAAGCTTAACTTCTGAAACTTTCAATTAGTTCCGATGCCACGTTCGCTATCCCAGTGGTCTCAGAAACGTTTGGGCGCATCCATATTTATAACAAAACAATGACTGTAAGTGGATTACATCGACGAGCAAGTCTCTGATCATCCAATACACCTGAATGTTATCCGAATGCTGCTTCAGTGGAAAAATGTACCTTTCGTACAAAGGACTTATTATGTTGAGTGTCACAAATTGGCTCAGAATCAGCTGGATAAGTGTTAGTCTTTGTAGTTTTTAAAACATTTATGCATCATTAAACTTCTCTATAATTCCAAGATTAACATTAAACTAGTTGGATTTATGATGTGAGTTAAGGATCTAACTGTATATAAAAGTAACCATCAAACAAACAGTTTATTGCAGCCAAGGTTTCGTATTAACAGATAGACACATTCAGTGAAGTGGCCAATGTTCATTGAAATAAACACTGATTTTAGAAAGACAAAGAAAATATAAGAAACTTCTGTAATAAATTAAGCCACTTGGCAACTGCAGTTGTGTTATTGAAAACCACTAGTCTTGCTTATCGTGTACCTTACTGATTAGTGAATTAGCTTTAATAAAGATGAATGTAAGATTGCAAAATGCTCAAGCAAAGCTGAAGATTATAATTATTCTACACAAAAGCAAACCAGCTGATTTGTTTAGTCTAATTTGAAAAAGTTTGGCACTTAAAGAATATTTGTATGTAAGTTGGTTCTGGAATTCACATTCACATTACATTGATTAAATGCACAGTAGCCTGCATCACAGGCACATGATTTCAGCAGTATTGTATTGTAAAGCATTGATGTAATATTTCTATATGGGGAAAAATGTGCAATTTAAGTAACATCAAATGTTTTTATTTGCAGTTGGGCTCTATGGTTCCCATATAATTTTGCACTATTCACATTCACATGGCTGTCGACAAACAGCACAGAGGATACAGGTAACACCTCCCTGTGGACCTGAGCACGATGTCTGCTCAGAACCCCTGATTGTCCACGCCGTGCTGAATATGCAAGTGGATTAGGCTGCTGTGAAACTATGGTATGAATAACAAAGATGCTTTGACGACACGGGAGCATGCAATCTCTGTTCTGTTATTCATAGATGCTCCGATTATGGTCAAAGGAAATGGTGCAAAAGTAAAACCAGCATAGTTCAAAAAGTAATGGAGATACTAGTGTTTTACATTTCAGACATTCAAGTAGACTCTCTGATCCTGACTTAGAATGACACAGAGTGCAATGATTGCTACTTTGTCAAAATGAATATTATAAAGAAGAAAAGAGATTTGAGCAAAAGGCCTGTCTCTTATTTCTGTTTCTTCCCTTTTTATCAGTCCTTAAATTATTTGTTCTCTGCACAATGTTTTATCCTGTTTTGTTAAAAGGCTCTCTATATAAACTTGAGGTGACATGACCTGAATAACAACTGCTGAGTACAAAGGAAATGAGCTGGATACTATCAGAACAAACAGCAGAGGCAGACACTACCAGCTTGCTCTCTAACATACAAGCCTCTAAAATTACAGCCACCTTCCATCTGCTTTAGAAAATGGCCTCCAACAAAGTACAATCTGAACTGGGTGGCAGGGCTGTTTGGTGCTTGAGGAGAACACCCTGGAACCAAACAGTAACAGATTCGATCTCAGCAACAGCCATCTGTTGTGTTGAAGTGGCCCTGGGCT